CTGGGTGCTCCCTGGAAAGATGCTGGGCCTGCATTGTGTGGGGTGAGGGAGGTTGAGGTGACAATCTAAGAGAGTCATCCTTCTCGACAATCTATGAGAGTCATTCTTCTCTCAAAGGCTGGCTGGGGAGGCAAGGCTGATTGGTCAAATGCATCGGATATTTCTGGGATCATTGTTTTGCTCTCACCTCCCTGGATCCAAACACAGAAAAATAATGATAGTAATGTCAAGCATGGCTACCATTGAGTGGATGCCCCCCATCTGCCATGCTCTGTTACATTGTCTCTATCCTTATGCTCTCTATGAGCTGGCTTTGATTCCCCTTCCCAAATGGGAAACTGAGGCTCAGAGAAGGAACTATTTGACCTAAGGTTGCACAGCTCTTAAGTGATAAAGGCAAGATTTGAGTCTGTTTCTAATGCCGAATCTCATATCCTTTCCACCGCTGGCCCAGGAGAGGAAGTCATTCTGTGGATTCTTCCTCCACATCTCCTCAGGGATTCTGCCTGCAGGACACTCAGGCTGCTGTGATTCCTGTGTTTCAAAGCTCTAAAGGAGAGAGAAGACTGAAGATAAAAATGTGTGTGTATGTGTGTGTGTGTGTGTGTGTGGCACGTGTTCGTGTGCTAGTTTCTCAGGTTTCTGTGGGACAGACACAGAGAATAATACTAATCATAATCACAGTAATATTCATAATGATAACAGTAGCAGTAGTGATAAAGGTAGCTAACATTTCTTGGCACTCACTATGTTCCCTGCGCTGTGCTAAATGCTTTGCCTAAACTGTCACATTCAGGTGGAGCAGGCAGTAGTTCAGAGTCAGGCCTCAGAGTCAGGCAAATTGGTCTGGATTTCCAGCTCTGCTACTCTCTGACTTTGGGAAAGGCACTTGGCCTGTGTAAGGCTCCAAGTCTTCAACTGGAAATTGAGTTCTGAGTCTTAACCTTGTGGGGCTGCCTCAAGGATGAAATGGGATCAGGGACATTTAACACTCAGAAAGGAGCAGAACACAGAGACAAATTTCTAGGGGGTAGCTAGTGTGCAAACACGTACACTATGGAGGGGTATGTGTGGGAGTGGGGGGTAGGAGGGCAGACATCTATTGTGAAGGCATGTATGAGTGTGTCTGAAGAAAAGACTTAAAGGCTGTGTGTACTGGGTAAAGGGTGTTGAGTGCTGATTGCTTTGTGATTTTGTTTAGTGGGAAGCTCACTTGGGGGAGTCCCCTTTTGAACTTGAGCTCCTGGACCAGTTCAGGCATGTCGGGTTCTCAGTCCCAGGAGGGTTCTGGATTGCTCACTGAGGGCCACTCTGGCCAGCTCCCTGCTTCTTACTAGCTCAGATCATCCCTCTTAGCTCCTGGGGGTGGTAGAGCCAGTCAAACCATGTCTTGCCCTTCTCTCCCCCTGACCAGGGCCAGCACACTCAGCACCCTTGGAGGGGAGGGCTAGAGGAATGAGGAAGACCCCAGCCTCCTGCTGTTCTCAGCTCTGTGCTGGCTGTGGTGGGACTTTGATTTTGTCTGAGCACTAGAGGGCAATGTGTCTGTTCCAAAGAAGCTGCGGGCTCTTGCTGGCAGAGTGCTCACACAGACACACGCAGGGGCGCCTACACTCTGGAGGCGCACACTCCAGTGCGCACACAGGCATAGGTGGGCAGAAGCAGTGACACATGCTCTCACACTCACAGAGACACAGACATACAAAATGTGAGGCGGGCACACACATACAGGTACAAACACAGATGCATACACAAGGAGAAGCAGAGTTAGGGGAAAGACAACGATGCCCCTCCTCCGGGAGAGGTATGGAGACACCAAGAGACAGACAAATGTACCACCCTCGCAGTGAAGACCAAAACAGGGCACATGCCACCTGCCCACACAACATTTGTAGAGTTAAGGAAAGTAAAGGACATACAAGTCCTGGACAGAAATATGGCAGGACCCAAACACACCCTCCTTTCACGCACACACACCTTGTAGACCTCACTCTTGGAAACAACCCCAGAAAAATATTCCCATACCCCTCTCCCTGGAGCTCACAGAATTATTCCACAGGAAACCTGCCCAGGTGTTCAGCCAGCCCTGTGTGAAGTCATGCCTCAGCCGAGAGCATACCCCCAAAAAGGGGCTCTACAGACTTCAGGTCTTGGGCCATATTTCCCACTGCCCTGGTCCACCCAGGCCTCCAGACAGGTCCCAACTTTTTCTTTTCTCTCCAGACACACATGACAACCAGACTCCTCACACAGGTACCCCCTGTGACACCCAGAACCTGGCACTGTGGACCAGGCAGGTGACTGAGTGTCAGAGACTTTGCACAGGTTTTTGTCCACACAGGTCCTCCTCCAGGCAATTAATTTCCCTATTGGCTCCCTTCATCTAGGGGAGGCTCAGGGTCTCCCCTCCTCTGGTCTGGGGCCCCGAGGGGTGGGGAAAATGGGAAATCTTCCCAGGCCCTTTATTTCTTTGTGCCTAAGTCAGCCTCAGTCTTTTCTCTGGCTCTTACTTCCCTGTCACTTTGCTAAGTAATAATTTCCATGTCCAATTCCATTTCTTTTCTAGTTCTGAAACCTCTAAGCTATCAGCAAGAGGATAGTTCACATGAAAACTAATTACACAAAATCAATATTTAATCACAGACCAACAACCTGATCCTGCAGAAAAATCCTTTTAAAACTCCACCGCCCTGTACAAATACTTCTTCCCAATGCTTATTTATGGACCCCATTTTTGGTGGGGGTAATTTTCATTTTTAATTTCAAAAAGAAAAAATATCTGTAGACATCCACAGTTGGGCGGTCCGGGAAAGGCCTTGAAACTGAGCTAGCTTCAGACCCCTGTGCGTGAAATTTGCAGGTTTTTATCGCTTGTTTTCATTTTTATTCTATTGGAGGGAGGATAATTTTCCTCCGAAGTTCCTCAAGACAGTGCTTCCTTGCACCCCCTCCCCTAAATTGAGCCCATCTTCTCTGTATTTGGGTTCTGGAACACCCAGCGTCTGCCTTCCCAGCAGCAACTCCAGGGAGCAATGAATCCCTGTGCAGGACGTGGTAACTTTTTAACTCGTGCTGGCGGCGGTGGAGTGCTTAATCTGAGGTTTTTAAATAAAAAGGGCTCAGGGGTTGGTTTTATTATAACGTTTATTTCATTTCAGATTTCATGCGCAATTTAGCAAACGCTAGACAGACTTGGGCGATAAACACTTTCTTTTGTGGGGGGAAAAGGCATTTTTATACACCATGCTTAATTTTATTTAGATTTAATAGCGATATCAGGGGCACTTCAAAGAAAGTTCTTTTTTCTCCCCTTCTGCTAAGAATGCTGGTCTGCCAGCAAAATTTCCTCGTGCTATTTTATGGTAAGGAAAATGAAAAGGCTTCTCCTCTTTCCTCCCTTACACGCACTTTAAGGAGGAAAACACACACACACACACACACACACACACACACACACGCACACACAGAGAATAAACACCTTTCTACCCTCCATCACCTCTAACTCCCAACTTCTAATTGCAAGATAGATTTCAGCCTCAGTAGGGATCAGGAAGATCTAAACATTTTAACTAAGATTATTGGGATAAATATTTCATAAAGAGCAGGGCAGATATTAAATTACTCCTATTGATTTTAGTATCACAACCCAATTCCGTTCCTTGGCCTCTTCAGTTTAATTGATCTCTTAAGGAGGCCAACCTCGCGCTTGCAGAGGGCCTGGGCCTTGGCCCTGGGTGCCCGGAATAGGGTGCTCTGGCTTTTGCTCCCCTCGGGTCTTCTCACATCCTGCAGCTGCCTTGCGGCTCCCGAGCTGGGCTCTTTCGATGTGCACTGCATGGAGTGGCCGAGTGGTCACGGCTGCTCCCGGCGGAAGCCAGTGGCTGAGAACCGGGAACGCCAGACTGTGGGGACAGCGAACAATTGCGTGCGCCCTCGTGAGAGAGGGGCCAGCGAGCGCCCGGTCTCCGCGGGAGAACCCTAACTTTGTCATTCCGGGTCTACTTTGACCTCCAGGAAAATCCGAAGGCCGGCTAACTTGGGCGCCACTAGTTAGCAGACAGCTGGAGAGCCAAGGGTCTGCCCGAGGGTTGAAGCGCAGTTGACACTTAGCGACTTTCTGTGTGGAGTCTGGAAGCTTTGCCTGGCGACCCCATTGTCTGAGCGCCCCGCACGTCTTACAGCCCACCTCCCCGCCCCCCGGCCCACCCCGCAGGTCTCGATTCAGTTGGGGGTGGGGAGTTGGGAACTGTGTGAGTGGAAAGGGGGGTGAACAAAGCCAACCTCCCGCCATTCTCCGCTTGCGCCCTCTTCAGCCCAAAGTGCAGGGAGGCCAGCGCGCGCCCCCAGCGCACAGGCGCCGGACCCCGGGGCGAGATCGGAGCGGGGGACCCGGGAGTTGGCCAAGTGCGGGTTCGTGGCTGCTGGGGCCTCAGCAGCCAGCACCCAGGACCACCTTAAGAGCGAGCCCCGCCCCGGGCCCGTAGCTCGGGCTGCGCTGATTGGTGCAAATGTAATGGCTGAAATTGATTGCTGAAATGCAAAACTTGTTGCTGCTTCTCCCGGCGTTGGGCTAGAGGCAGACACAGAGAGGGGAGCCGAGACCCTCGGAACGCCCCACGCAGAGCACCCCCCCCGCCAACCCAGAGAGGGGTGCGCGGACCCCCCCCTTCCCTGAGCTGCCCCCGCCCCCCCCATTCCGGGCCCCGAAAGCGCAACCGGAACGCCTTAGCCTGCTCAGCCTGTGCAGCCTGGCCCCTAACCTGCGTACGCCCCCCTCCCCGGGTCCGAGGGGGACTCGCCAAGCACCTCCGCGCCGAGGCAGGGAACCGAGCCTTGGAGCGATCTAAGCCCTCGCCTCGCTGCCTGCCCGCTCCTGGAACAGATTGCCGAGACCCCCGCGAACTCAGAGACCAAACAGCGTAGGACAGAAAGCGGCAGGCGGCGGACGTGGCCGCGAAGCGGCGCGCCGGGGTGCAGCGCACCAGCGGCGGAGCCGGGGAGCCGCGCCTTCTCCCAACCCTCTGCTCCAACCCCCGGCGCCCGCGCCTCCCCAGTCCCGCTGCGCGCGCGGCTCCGGGACCAGCATCGGTGATGCCGACAGAAACCTCCGGTCCTCGGACTCGCTGAAGAAGCAGCGGCCGCTTGCTGGGGCCGACGGTGACTGTACAAGCAGGTCGTGCTTGGCCGAGGCTCCGGCTGCAAAGCGCGGGGACTCCGGGGGGAGGGGGGAGGGACCATTCTGTCCGAGCCCCGGCGCGAGCCCCGGCTTTGAAGGGTCTCCCAGCCCGGCCCCTTAGCAGCTCTGCCTCGGACTTCGGGAAGCTTCCGGCGTCCTGGGGCGCCCAGCCGGACCCGATCGGACTTAAGAAGGTGATCGCTCTGCTCTCCCTTCCTCCTGCCCGCCTCCTTTCCCCCACTTAACTTTTTTTGTCTCCACTCGTCCGCAGTTCCCTCTCCGCAAACTGACTTGCGGCTGTGCTAACCGCCCGGGGCATGGGCCCCCCAACAAGGCTCCCGGAGGCCCCGCGGCGCCGCAAGATGTGAGAGGCCCGCGTCGGACATAACCGGAGCTTTGGGAGAGGAGCTGCTAGCCCCCAGCCTCCACGAGCCCGGCGAGGTGGCCGTGCGCGCTGCGCCCCCGAGGTGCTGAGCGTCCGGGAGCGCCCGACTCGGGGCCGGAGCGAGTAGCTGGCCGAGGCGCGCCGCGGAGAGCAGGCTGTCATGCCCTATTGATCCCCCGCCCCCCGCCAAGTATGTTTGGGCTGGACCAATTCGAGCCCCAGATCAACAGCAGGAACGCTGGGCAGGGCGAAAGGAACTTTAACGAGGCCGGACTAAGCATGAACGCCCACTTTAAGACCCCGGCTTTCCACGCAGGGGGACCCCCTGGCCCCGTGGACCCTGCCATGAGCGCGCTGGGCGAGCCCCCGATCTTGGGCATGAACATGGAGCCTTACGGCTTCCACACGCGTGGCCACTCGGAGTTGCACGCCGGGGGGCTGCAGGCGCAGCCGGTGCACGGTTTCTTTGGAGGCCAACAGCCACACCACGGTCACCCAGGAGGCCACCACCCCCACCAGCATCACCCCCACTTCGGGGGCAACTTCGGAGGCCCGGACCCAGGGGCCTCCTGCCTGCATGGGGGTCGCTTGCTCGGCTACGGCGGCGCAGCCGGTGGCCTAGGCAGTCAGCCGCCCTTTGCGGAGGGTTATGATCACATGGCTGAGAGCCAGGGGCCTGAGAGCTTCGGCCCTCAGCGACCAGGGAACCTCCCGGACTTCCACAGTTCGGGCGCCTCGGGCCACGGCGTGCCTGCTCCATGCTTGCCGCTGGACCAGAGTCCCAATCGAGCGGCCTCTTTCCACGGCCTGCCGGCCTCCAGCGGCTCCGATTCCCACAGTTTGGAGCCTCGGAGGGTGGCGAACCAAGGAGCCGTCGACTCTCTGGAATACAATTACCCGGGCGAGGCGCCCTCGGGACATTTCGACATGTTTTCACCCTCAGAATCTGAGGGGCAGCTGCCTCATTACGCGGCCGGTCGCCAGGTTCCCGGGGGCTCTTTCCCGGGCGCCTCGGCCTTGCCCAGAGCTGCAGGCATGGTGGGCTTGTCCAAAATGCACGCCCAGCAGCAGCAACAGCAGCAGCAGCAACAGCAGCAGCAGCAACAGCAGCAACAGCAGCAGCAGCAGCAGCAGCAGCAGCAACAGCAGCAGCAGCACGGTGTTTTCTTCGAGAGGTTCGGGGGGACCCGAAAGATGCCTGTGGGTTTGGACCCAGGAGTAGGCTCCAGACACCCGTTAATGCAGCCTCCCCAGCAGGCCCCTCCGCCCCCTCAGCAGCAGCCCCCTCAACCTCCGCAGCAGCCGCCGCCACAGCAGCCGCCCCCTGGGCTTCTGGTCAGACAAAATTCATGCCCGCCCGCACTCCCACGGCCCCAGCAGGGCGAGGCAGGCACACCCAGCGGCGGTCTGCAGGACGGGGGCCCCATGCTGCCCAGCCAGCACGCGCAGTTCGAGTACCCCATCCACCGGCTGGAGAACCGGAGCATGCACCCTTATTCCGAGCCTGTGTTTAACATGCAACACCCCCATCCGCAGCAGGCACCCAACCAGCGGCTGCAGCATTTCGACGCCCCCCCGTACATGAATGTGGCCAAGAGGCCGCGCTTTGACTTCCCGGGCAGCGCGGGAGTGGACCGCTGCGCTTCGTGGAACGGCAACATGCACAACGGCGCTCTGGACAACCACCTCTCGCCCTCCGCCTATTCGGGCCTACCCGGCGAGTTCACGCCGCCTGTGCCGGACAGCTTCCCCTCTGGGCCACCCCTGCAGCACCCGACCCCTGACCACCAGTCCCTGCAGCAGCAGCAGCAGCAGCAACAGCAGCAGCAGCAGCGCCAAAACGCGGCCCTCATGATTAAGCAGATGGCGTCGCGGAATCAGCAGCAGCGACTGCGCCAGCCCAACCTGACCCAACTAGGCCACCCGGGTGACGTAGGCCAGGGCAGCCTGGTGCACGGCGGCCCGGTGGGCGGCTTGGCCCAGCCGAACTTTGAGCGCGAAAGCGGAGGCGCGGGCGCCGCGCGCCTGGGCACCTTCGAGCAGCAGGCACCACACTTGGCGCAGGAGAGCGCGTGGTTTCCAGGTCCGCACCCGCCTCCGGGTGACCTGCTGCCCCGCAGGATGGGTGCCTCAGGTCTGCCACCCGACTGTGGCCCGCACGACCCCGGCCTGGCGCCGCCCCCTCCCCCTGGCGGCTCTGGGGTGCTGTTCCGGGGCCCACTGCAGGAGCCGCTGAGGATGCCCGGAGAGGGCCACGTGCCCGCGTTGCCCTCCCCCGGCCTGCAGTTTGGGGGCAGCCTGGCCGGCCTGGGACAGCTGCAGTCGCCGGGGGCTGGGGTGGGACTGCCCAGCGCTCCCTCCGAGCGCCGCCCTCCGCCGCCGGATTTTGCTGCGCCCTCGCTGGGGGCCCAGCCGGGCTTCCCATTCGGCGCGGCGAACCGTCAGGCCACGCCGCACAGCGGCCCAGGCGTGAACTCGCCTCCGAGCGCGGGCGGGGGAGGGGGCAGCACCGGCGGCGGCGGGGGTGCGTACCCCCCGCAACCTGACTTCCAGCCCAGCCAGCGCACCTCGGCCAGCAAACTGGGCGCGCTCTCGCTGGGCTCCTTCAACAAGCCCAGCTCCAAGGACAACCTGTTTGGTCAAAGCTGTCTGGCTGCTCTCTCCACCGCCTGCCAGAACATGATCGCCAGCCTCGGGGCTCCCAACCTCAACGTGACCTTCAACAAGAAGAACCCGCCCGAGGGCAAGAGGAAACTGAGCCAGAACGAGACCGAAGGCGCGGCAGGGGCCGGCAACCCGGGCTCGGATTATTTCCCCGGAGGGGCTGCCCCTGGGGCTCCAGGGCCCGGAGGTCCCTCCGGGACTAGTGGCAGCGGCTCCAAAGCCTCGGGGCCGCCCAACCCGCCTGCTCAGGGGGACGGCACCAGCCTCTCCCCCAACTACACCCTGGAATCCACGTCGGGAAACGATGGCAAGCCGGTGCCTGGGGGCGGTGGCCGGGGACGGGGTCGCAGAAAAAGGGACAGTGGTCACGTGAGCCCCGGGACCTTCTTCGACAAGTACTCTGCAGCGCCAGACAGCGGGGGTGCGCCTGGGGTGAGCCCAGGGCAGCAGCAAGCCCAAGGCGCAGCCGTCGGGGGAAGCTCCGCCGGAGAGGCGCGCGGGGCGCCGACGCCTCACGAGAAAGCGCTCACGTCGCCTTCGTGGGGGAAGGGGACGGAGCTGCTCTTGGGGGACCAGCCGGACCTCATGGCCTCCCTGGATGGGGGACCGAAGTCGGATGGTAGTTCCCCGCACGTGGGCGAGTTTGCCTCAGACGAGGTGACCTCGAGCTATGCCAATGAGGACGAGGTGTCATCTAGCTCAGATAACCCCCCTGCCCTGGCCAAAGCGAGTAGGAGCCCCCTGGTGACGGGATCGCCCAAACTTGCTCCCCGTGGGATGGGCGCAGGGGAACACGGACCGAAGGCGCCCCCGCCCCCACTAGGCCTGGGCATTATGTCTACCTCTACCTCCACCCCTGACAGTTACGGCGGCGGGGCCTCGGGCCATCCGGGCACACCAGGCCTGGAGCAAGTCCGGACCCCAACGAGCAGCAGCGGTGCCCCGCCACCTGATGAAATCCACCCCCTGGAGATCCTCCAGGCACAGATCCAGTTGCAGAGGCAGCAGTTCAGCATCTCCGAGGACCAGCCCCTGGGGCTCAAGGGTGGCAAGAAGGGTGAGTGCCCTGTAGGGCCCTCAGGCGGGCAGAACGGTGACAGCGAGCTGGGCAGCTGCTGCTCAGAGGCAGTTAAGAGCGCCATGAGCACCATTGACCTGGACTCGCTGATGGCAGAGCACAGCGCCACCTGGTACATGCCTGCTGACAAGGCCTTGGTGGACGGTTCGGATGATGACAAGACCCTGGCGCCCTGGGAGAAGGCCAAACCCCAGAACCCCAACAGCAAAGAAGGTATATGTGCTCGCCTCCAGTTCTCTTCTCACCTCTCTCACATCCACCCTGGGATGTAGCCTAAGCCTGGAAAGGGGAGGGTCCCGTGGGGATTAGGACCCTCCAGATGCCCAACTCAGAGCTGGGTACCCTTCCACCGGTTACGCCAAGGACTCTGCAGGGGAACCACTCCCCCCAGGTGCTGCCAAGTAGATTCTAGTTCCACTTGGTACTAAGAATTTAGATGGCAGGCCTTTGGGGATTATTGTAGAGTTCCTCCCCCTTACCCCTCCCTCCCCCTCATCAAGTTTGAACTTAGTAGTTGGGTGCTTGAAAGACTAGACCCCTTTTCTTTGACATCAAGACTCCTCCACACCACCAACATTCAGGCTGGTTCTACTTTTTAGGAGTTGTGTACTATGCCCTCCTTCCTGGCAGGACACCTGGGAAGTTGCGTGAATACCTCCCCACCTTCTCTTAGTTAGCTAGCCTCCAGCCTGAGTTCCCTTCTCTGCCAGCATCTTTGGGGAAAAAAAGTTACCATCTCTGGTGCCTGCACCATCACTCACAGGCAACGCCTAATTTGACATTTGTTCCTAATGAATAGCTGTTTTGTCTCTTCTTAACTATTAGAGTTTCATTGAAAAACTGGAGACCTGTCAGGGTTGTAAGAGGCAGGCAGCCTTTTCCGGGTGCATCTCCTTGACATTTGGTGGGGGGTGGGGTGGGAGCTGGGGTGGAGTCTTCTTGGCACAGACCAGAGTACTCAGCCAGGCTATCACGCGCGCGTATGGAGGTATGGATATATATTCTTAAGACACAAAGGACCCGCGTTTGTCAATATCTCGCCTGGCTTTGGTGACAGATGTCCACTCTCAGCTCGCCTTTGCATTCTGAGCACTCCCTCCCCAGCAGGCCTAGAGGGCCTGGGTGGGGTAGAGGTTAGGGAATGGGCTGCCCTTGTAGTTAAAGTAACACTAGTTCTTTTTGTTTTTTTAACCTAAAGATAACTGGACTACAATAGATATTCATTCTATTTATATGGGGACCTCCCCCCCACAGATAATGGTATTTTAAAATTAGGCAACATCATTTTGTTCCCATTCCTACTGTTTCCTTTAAACCCCGGGTTGAATCCTGTTGGTTTCGCCACACTGAGTGTGGCCATGGAGCCAGCGCCTGGCGATTTTACCCCGTCCTTTAAAAAAATAATGTCCCCTGATTCTTGCCCTCTTTAGAGTTCTTCCCTCCTCGACCTTGGTCTGCCCAGTCCAGTCCACATCCAGTCATCTCTAGACCCCGAATTTAAGGTGAGGGTAGGATCCTGGAGAGCAGGGGCAGGAGGAGGGAGGAGAGGGTTGGGGGAAAGTGCTGCAGGAGTTGGGGTGGCTCAGAACTCTGGGCTTTCGTGGAGCGGGTCGTCGCGGTTGGCTTTCCCGCTTAGGTTTTCTAATTCATGAATGCGGCCGCGCTGCTTTTCTCTTTGTTCGTCTACTGCCCAGCCCGGGACGCCGCTCTCTCATTTGAAGCCGGGTATTTAGCATGCACAGCAGACGCTGCAGCCAGCATCAGCATTCTCCAGGCTTCTCCTGGGCAAGGCCATAAATTGGTTAGTTTGGGACCCTGGGCTTCTTCTGTACCCACCCCCCCTTTTTAAAAATGGAGTTGGACACAGCATCCTGCTTGCTCCAGTCCCTCTTTCTCTTTTATTTTCTTGTACACAACATCTCGATCCCACCGATGGATAGCTGGTTAGCACACATTCCAGCTGCTGTCACTTCTACCTGGCTTGGCCTGGCTGCTCCTTCCCCTGCCCCTTCCCGGTTCCCTCCCCTCCCAAGTAATTAAGAACATATTGGCCAAAATGGGGTGAGAAAAGTTAAAAAAAAAACACCACAGATCCGATTTAGAGAATTAATAAAGAAAAAAACAGTAGCACCTTGCCTAGGAGTCCTAGGGAGGGCCTTGGTCCACTAGGCGGGGAGGTAGGAAGGGTGGTTTTAATGAGATCTTTTTACAAGAGATCACACCTTTCTCTGCCCAGTAGGACTATTCCTTTGCAGGGGAAAAAAAAAAAAAAGATAGGGATTGTGAATGAAGAAACATCATTAAAGAAATGTTTTATTTTGTTTCTTTCATTATCACAGGCAGAGGAGGCAAATATATTTTTTTTTGGAAAGAGATGCTAGTCCCTTTAGGGTTGATTTCCCCTGTTAGCCACATGCAGCCCTCCCGGCACACGGGCGGACAGGGGCTTCCTTCAGGGACTGCTGCAGGGCTGGCTGTCTTAGAAGCATTGCAGGGACAACCACTTGACCTCCTTTGTTTTCTACTCTGTGATGTGGGAAGGACAGTTCCCTAGATAAAGCCCCGAATTGAGGTCACTCACAGCTCTGCAGCCTTGGGGCTGCTAGTTAAGGCTTTATAAGGTATCTGCACCCAATTCCTGCTCCCTTACTGGTAGTAAATAAGGATGATTAAACTTTTCATTATGATAACACCCTGCAGTTCCATCTGCACATGTTGTATAAATAGGTACACAGAGTCTTCCACGCACCCCAAGTCCCCTGGCTGAAAATCAGAGTGAAGTGTGCTACTTTGAAACAGAGTCGGAAAAAAAATTAAAACATTCTGCTTTTTCTTAAACACATGCCCATGGTCCCATTAGCCTCGAAGCAGCGGTGTCTGGAGGCTTTGAACATACCTCCTCTAGGTTCCAGCCCAAGCAAATACTTTCTCCCCGCTCTCAGGCAAAGCCCATTTTTATAATGATATTTTATTTTGTCACGCCGTAAAACACGCCAGTACTAATGTGATTAAATATTAACACCGTTTCTGAAATTCTTCGCTCCGATGACAAAATACTAGTCGGTATTTAACAAAATGATCCGTGCTTGGATTGGAGAGAAGGAATAAGTCTTCAGAACTGCACAAGCCGTGTAGCCACCGGGACGTGCCCAGATTGTCTTATGCGCTATGGATGTCCTTTGGAGGGGAGGGAACTGGCTAGCTGCAGCTCTCACAAAGTCTAGGCCAGAATCACATGTGATTATGATTTTTTATTTTTTTAACCAGGAAAGCTCCTTCAAATTATGCTGCCCCTGACTTCTTACTCAACACACCAAGCAACTTCAGTATAATGAAACTGCATCACCTCATGAGGTGCTGTTTGTACAAAGTTGGTGTGGGGGGAGGGTGAGGCAGTGCAAAGGGGGAAAAAAATCAGCCTGAATTTGGGCTTCTTCGGACATCTATAAAATCAGTGATGGTTAGGCACGTTTAAAATTACTTTGCAAAATTCTCCACCTATCTTCTTAGTAGGTATGTGGTTATGGAGGAATTTCCTAACAGAGAAGGAGAAATAAATAATAGATTGTAGAAAAAGGTTATTAAGTCTGGAAAAGTATCTCCCTTCCACCTCCAGCCCTTTCCAATTTTCAAAACTTGAATTAACCATACTCTGTATTAAGTTTATCCTTGCCAAACCTCCGTTATGTTCTCGCTCTCTATCTTGAAATCTGGAGTAGTCTAGAAACGCTCTTTCACACACATTGAAACGGGAGAGGTCTTCTTCTATGCTCTGCATGCAATCCTGCCCTTTTTGGAAGTATGATATTTTTACAGTGATGCGGGAGAAATTTTTGGAATTTCATGCTTCTCTCAGTGTTCCTAGCAGAGCAGTCAGCAATGCTGAGAAATACTAGGCAGGCAGGATTCGAACAGTGAGTTTTTTTTTAAACATGGAGCAGGCTTGGGCAGAGGGGTGTCGGTGTGTTGGGGTTGCTGGCAGGGGTTGGGGGGGGTCTTAGTCCTGTGTTTTTTGGAGTAATTTCCTCTACTCCCCACACCCTGGAGATAATTTTTAAGGCTCACTCAAACTTGTTTTGGGAAGGCGAGGAACCTTGCATTCCTGGTTCCCTGTGAAATCACCCAGCAGGAGCTGCATGCCTTCCTGTGACTTCTGCAGCCTCCGGAAGATGTAACCCAAAACTTCGCAGGTGTTAATCAGGGGTAATGTAAACAGATAGGAGCCCCCTTTGTGCAGCTGACGTTGAGGCCTCCCTACTCCTTGGCTAGCCCAGGACATACTACTACTGTTCTTTGGTGCTTGTTTAATATTTCATGGGTGTAATAAACCTGTCTTCTTTGCCCGCCTCCCGACATAAAACCCCAACCTAGCACACATCTGCAATTATACATTTCCACTAAATATTAATAAAGGACAAGGATGTTTTAAGGGGCTGAAGCTTATCGGTGTTGAACTTGTTGTGGTTTATGGCACTGGATTTTTCTAGCTGTTTTGATTTTAAATAACCATTGCCTCTAATATGTAATACATACTTACGTATTCTTATGGACATAAAGATATACAATTTTTGTAGATTGTAAGGTTTTCCTCAAGGATAGCTTTCTTAAATGTAAATTCATTTAGATTTCTTGTGAGGTCCCTTCAGACCGGAAGTTAGAGATTGTTGAAATGTGCTTCTATTTTATTGAGGTTTCTAGGAAAGGAGCGAGGGCTGGTTAATCTAATTTCGCTTTCTAGCAATGAAATTCTATGATTCCTGATATGATTTGGTTTGCCTGACAGAGGTATTTAAATTTCCACAAAGAGTCTTAATAGGTCCTGAAAATATAGCTGCCTTCGCCAAGAAGTTACTTGATACTTTCTGCTGATACAAAATATACATCTTTAATAAATAGTCCAGGAGAACCAGGTGAAATTAGAGGAGGGAAATCCTTCCCACTGTGGAGAAGCAAACTGGGGATTTCACAGGGTGTCCTAACTCACTTCATGATGGGAGATTTAGCAAAATCACTTGTGATCTTTCTCTCCCCTCTAGTGACAGTCCCATTGGGTTGTGTTCTTTGCCTAGAGAGTGATCTACGTTGCTGAAAGCATTTAGGAGATAAATACTCTTAGTAAGGAATACTGTATTTACCTCTTTTTGGTTAATTTTAGAGATTAAAAGGCTATAGCTTTATATAATAGGATCAAATGTGGGGGGACGAGGCAAGGG